TGCAGTAAAATAAATGCATAGAAATCTTAGGAAGAAGCCTAGAGTTTCAAAAAGGACTTGAAGATGGTTAGAAAAACCTGGATTGGATTGAAAAAGCTTGTTTAGAGACCATATAAGATATTCAAAAATGACTTGGTAGAGATTAACAAGGCCAGGAAGGTCTGAGCGAGGTTAGAAATGGACCTGCGGAAACCTAAAAGGGTTTGGAAAAGATAGGAAAAACCTATAGGACCTAGAGATGCTTAGAGGACATAGAAACAACTAGATACAAACGACCTGTAAAGATCAATAGCGCCTACAGAAGACCTCAAGAGGCCTCCAGGCTTTGAAAGCTAATCGATACCTGGAGACCTATAGAACCTAGCGAAAACATAGCGATGGTTTTGAAAAATTTTGAACCTTGAAAAACCTAAAAATAACAAATTTAAACTAACAATAGGGCTTAAAAAACCTGTAAATGGTAGGTAGAACTAATTTAACTGAAAGAAACTTTGACGAGTTTTACATGCATTAACACAGAACTTTCGAGACACTCGATAACCTGTAGGTATAATTAACCTGTCAGTTAAATAGTGTTGGCAGCAATAAATGGCCCAAATGACCTCATTGTTTCGAAAGGTGCATATTTAGTCGTTAATTTATTGCAACTCGTTTGTTGCAGGAGTGCAAATGTGATTTTTGGATAAAGCTATAAAACATGCCAATATCGTGGAAAATTTATGTACTTGTTTGTTTTGTATAGACAATTAGAGGGACACGATATACAGAGTGATTAATAAAATGTAACAAGCCCTTTAAAAATATCGAATGTCTGTTGAAATTTCATTCTCAGCTATACTCAGTTTTATCGAAAAGCATAAACATTAAACCGGCGAAATTACAGGGAAACCTGTAATAGAACAGAATTATTATCATAAATTTGAATAAATTAATCCAATTAATTTTGTTTTACGTACGTACTGGAATCGTTTAATATACATATTCATCTATTTGTAAGCCAATTACCATTTTAATTGTAACGCAATCGAGCAAATTAAAATAACAGTCCTATACATCAAAAAATATGTACCTATAGCAGATTGTAAGTAGGTACACGTTGTTTGTATAAATCAAATACGGGTAGTACAATGTCAAACGGACTATCTGATAACAATAAATTTTAAATGTTATTCAACGATTTACCCCCGTATTAAGTATTTTTTTATAACCAACTGGTTTTGCAACCAACGATTATATATTTCCGAACTTTAAACAAGGCAACGTTGCTTATTTTAATCTTAAACGAGATGAAACGGATCATAGTTTTTTGTCATTCCTCTGCCATTTAGAGCGCGCCAGAATCATCTAGAACAATGTCTAGAACCATTTAGAACGCTTCAGAACCATTTAAAAATCTCCATGGCGTGCTCATTTAGAATGCTCCAGAACTGTCAAGAACAATCTTGGGGGCTCCAGAATTATTTTATAGAACTGTCTAAAACGATCTAGGAAGCTCCGTAAACATTTAGAACTGTCTAGAACTATTTAGAACGCTCTAGAATTATTTATAACTGCCTAGAACAATCTAGATCGTCCCAGAACCATTTGGAACTGTCCAGAACCAAGTAGAACGCCCCAGAATCATTTAGAACTGAAGAATTGCATAGCAGTGCATATTTACACTTTGTCAATCACCATTCCTGTTAAAAATACATTTAAACAATTTTCTATTTTTTCGGGGACACACTGTATATAGTTACGCGCAAAATTAAAACCGACGACCTGATGTTCGTGCGCGCATAAACATATTTTCATAGCCTTCTAAAATACTTCTGCGGATTACCTCATGTCGAGAAAACATCCATTCGCGCGGGGCCATTAAATTTTAAATTGAAATTCGGCATCTCCATATACAGGGTGTTCCTAAACATCGCGCACATCCGAAAGGGGGTAATTCATTGGCATATTTCATGACTAACAGTTCATATAAACAACATTACATAGGCCGCTTTATATAAACTTTTAATCATGAAATAAAAGCCAAGAAATCACCCCCTATCGAATATGCGCGATGTTTAGGACCACCCTGTATACCTAACCCATCAAAGACTCTTTTAATCGAAACGATAAAAAAATACGGAGGGTCGTTATTCCAACCGAAAAATGCGCACAGAAAGAAAACTAACTAACAGAGTTAAAACAATGGGAGAGAACGGAAGGTTGTCGAGAGATAAGCGACATTTTGCCCGTCCGTGACACTCAAAATGTCGTGTAAATACCGCTAAATTACCGGTTGAAAGTTCGTTCTACAAAAGAACATAAACCGGGGACGTGCATGTCGAGTGTGTTTATTTTCGTTCGGGTCGATATTAACCTTTTAATTACTTTATTGCGAGGTACAAATTATGATATTAGGCCGGCTAATGTAGACCCATTGATTGGATCTTTTTAACGAGAAAAAAAAACCTTGAACATTTTATGATCAAAAATTCCAATCTCGCTTTTAATTACGCTCTCTAATCTCATTTTGAGTAATTTCACTGTTTAATCCCACTTCTGAATCCCACTTCTGATTTTTTTTAATATTTGTGCTCTGCGTGCAAATTACGTTCCGGATCGAAATTCATACTCGATGGACAATTTTTAATGGATTATGATAAGGTAAAATATGCACAATAGTATTATATAAAGTTTTTCCTATACACAGCCGGAGTTTTCCTCGATTAAATAGAAACGTATATTATAATAATAACTTGCTCATATTGCTCAACATATTATATTCGAACGTATCGAATCTCATGCTTTTGAATACCAACTTGAATGTAATATTGTTATACATAGTTCAACTTATTGTTAGAATTTACTGACGGAGCAATATTATCACTATTGAACTAAAATTGTTAAATACGAAAGAGTAAAATTCAAAAATTTTGAAATGGCAGCTTTTGAAAGTGACTGAAAAGTCATATTTTTGCACTTAAGAATTTTATCCAGCAATCTCCACTGTAAGTAAAATTAATTAACTCTATTAATAATACCACTGACTTAATCCTCTTGCATGAATCTCTAAACTTTATACTTACTTTATACGTATACATTTTATTTTGTTCGTATAACGAAATTAATGAATTAACAGGTAACGTTATAAAATATCTTTGATGCATCACGCAAAACGCAAATGCATTAATCGCTGTTGGGAAACTTTATAAAATAAATCGGGCGTGTACTTACGGACTGGAATATGTTTATTATGCGATTAAACTCTGTGGCATAATTCCTGGCAAATTAATAACCAGGAACGATGGTTTCTGTCGAGTGTACATAAAACAATAGGTAGGCTGGACAATACCGGTTTTATCATGCACGGATAGGATTTGAAATAAGTAAATTATACCTATATTTACTGTTATAATGGTCATGTACACGTTTCTAACATGATTAACACGTGTTTACTATTATCTGCTAATGTATTAAAATGAGAAGAGGGAACAATACCTATGCAGTTAAATTGAAATTAAATTCTCATAGGATACTCTCTCTAGCATATTGTTTGAAGCTATTTAAGACGCCATTTTGTAGATTTTTATGAACTATTAAATGTATTTTAACGAGCTATAAAAGACGATAGTAATTGGAATAGGCTGGGAAATTGAAATGTTTTAATATTTCTATACGAAATGGGTTATGTATACCGGGTAGAGGTTTTACTATAGCAGGACTGTGGATATCACCTAATTTTATAACCAAAGGTCCTTTATAATATACAGAGCTTTTCAAGGTAACCATCGATTAAAACTCCATTTAATATCTTTAAGGGGATTCCCTTAAGCTCTAATAATAATAATGCAAAATTCCCGTGAAACATAAAATACAACGATTCGCTAGTTGAAAAAAAATTAGATGAAGTAACAGAATCTGTTGAAAACGTTGTTAAATTCGACCTGAATACAAACCAAATTTTCAGCTTCTCGTAATAAAATTTACAGAAACTGTTAGTTCCATGGGGCGAAGCAATAAAATAAATGTCGTTCTGTACCTTGTGGAACTTTAAATTTTACAACCGGTCCCAATCCTGTCGCTTTTCATGGCTCTTTATATTGATTAATCGCGCATATATAAACTTATACGTTAGGTACTATTATAACGAACAGAGAAAACTCTTTTCAAATATAAAGCCATTGGAGTTGGAACGTTTGTTATCTAAATTTATAAACAGTTTTCACTCAATATCCTAAAATACCGGCACAATCGCCTCAAATCGACGCCCCTCGGGTAATAAAAAACGATTGCCGGTTTCAAATGTTTTATGATGCCCGGTTTACACCGCGTATACAGGGTGTCCTAAAGAAAAGTAGGCCCTTTGGCGAGCTAATAATAACTTTTAAGAGCCTAATTATAAGAACATGCGGTTTTCGCAGATATACATATTTTATTTTGCTATAACTTTTTGTTCGACTGACACAAAAATTTTGTATCGCCTGTACAGTGTGTTTTATAAAAATTCCCTCTTTTAAATTCACATTCACCAAATTTTATGAAATTACGCGCCTAAGTTAATCAGTAAAGCTCGGAATATATTCAAAAAATCACAAAATATGCGCATAAATATGCAAGATAATTTATTGAAATATATGCTGAAAATATGTTAATACAAAAAGATTTGAATGTATCATTGCATTACTGTAAAAAGGAATTTTTATTGATTTTTTATTTTAAACATCTTTTTTGTTCTTATTTTTCGTAATTTTCAAAAAAGTGCGTTAGAAGGGTTCTAATTTCTAGAAATTACTGAAAATATCCACAATAAATATGCAAAAATTCAAAAAAATTTAAAATTTTTCAATCTTACCCACTCTTTGTTTCGATATTTTTATGAAATTTGCACATTTTTTTGAAAATTTCAATTCTTTAATCTCATTTTTCGCTATTTTTATTTTCGCTAAAAAAGTCCATTTCGTATATAGTCCCAGCCTTATAAATTTTCAAAAAAAACTCTCTCCACATACACCGTCCAAACTAACCTTTAATAAAATCCACGGCCATCTCCAACCCGTACGTATCCTTATCGCAATCGTCCAAAATATGCGCGCCCAACGAAATCCCCGGCAACACCGCCTCCTCGGCCTTGTTCACTCTATCCAACGTGTACAGCATCGTCTCCAACGCCTGCACGCCCCCTTGCGGCATCACCGGCCCGCAGGTGATGCTCTCCTCCCGTTCGTGCACCATCATCAACCCGCCCAGCACCAGATCGCCCTCCACCACGGCCTCCTTCTTCACCGGCCACGGCACCTCCTCGTGCTGGTGCCGCAGGTGGTGCTGGTGCTGGATCTCCGCGTCGGCGGAGGCCAGCGCGAACGTTTCCTCATTGAAATTCGACAGTTTGTGTTTCGTGTAGTACCTGCGGGGTGCGAAACGGGCCACTATTTACCACCACTCAACGCGTTTAATCGTTTGGTTCGAATTTAACGGTAAGTGCATTGTAGCTCCGGGGAATGTGAAATGTAAAGCGTGCAATGATATTTTGAAGTTCGCGCGACTTAATTAATATTCCTGTTGGACACTCCGATGTGCATCAGGAATTTTGTTGGATTCTGCATGAACGAATAAAAGGGTAATTTGGATTTGGAGTGTTTTATCATTGTATCTGTGATTCGCTAAACCGTGAACGTCTCGTTAATTGTTTCACTTTGATGAATTTTAGAAGTGTTTTAAATGGTGTAAATGGTGAATGTGTATTCGTTTTTATTTTCTCTTGCCTCTGCTCTTTGTCTCGGGGTTCTCTTGCCCGAAATAGTTATAGGGAATCCCATGTTCTGTATAGATCCCAGTTCAGAACTGGTGCTGCATTGCAACGCTAATTTGTTAAAGAAATTAAAGTACTGATCCACTACTCATGGATTTTTTGTCCAAAATAGTTATAGGGAATCCCATGTTCTGTATAGAATCCAGTTCCATACTGGTTTTGAATTGCAACGATTATAGTATGCTGGTCCGGAACTACCTGGTGCAGTGTACCGATTCGTGAACCAAACGACATTTGTTACATGTTCGTTTCTTACCTGTGCATCCCGTGAACATATCGAGTTTTCGAGCAAACGACCGAACTTATTATGGCGAATATGAAAAAGAAGCTGTAAAAATTGAGCCTCATGCTTTGCTTCCTTAGAGGAGCGTTTCTCTAAAGTAGGACATATCTGGAAATAAATTCAACAAAGTTAAATTGAGGACATTGTGTGATGTTTTCCTCGCCTTGCTTTCGTACGAGAGTGTTGCAATTTTGTTTATTTTTTTGCTAAACCAAGATGTTATTCCGGGTAACGTAGGTCATTTTAATGATGGTCGTTATTGATGATGTTAATGATTATTTTAATTATTATTTTAATGATGATTTCAATGAAAATTTTAATAATAAGCTTTAAACAGTCGATGAGCTTAAATAATAAATCTGAGCTTGAACAGTAAATCAAGTCTGGTCAAACAAATAATTTCCGATGTAGGTACAGATGGTTAATTCAAGTTGTAACCCACAGCAGAAACTTTAATTAGTCTTAAACTAGATTAGAAATATTGAAATATTAGGGACAAATTGCAGAAAAGGTACAACTGCCAGAATAGATTAGTATCTCATGTTATAAAGTGGTCATTGGGGATAACCAGAAAGGGAATTATATGAAATCTCCAACAGACAAAGTTGGATTAAACTTGATTACATTACCTACCAATGTTTGCATCCCAAAGCCAATATCTTTATTAAGCAATTAATTATTACAATATTTTCCAAGTTTTAGTTACAAGGTTATTTTTGCCATTTTTTTTACTATCTAGAAAGTAATTATAAAACTAAAAATTAAAATAAAAGGAACATTGATTTTAGTCTTGAAGTAGTTTAAAAACGTGGAAAGATAATTAATAAACGATGGAAAAACCAACTAGATAAGTTGCCTAATAAATTAGTATCTCTCAGAATGAAGTGGTCGTCGGGGAAAACCGAGGAAAACGAAGAAAACTCGGGCAAAGTTAGTTCAACTTTAAATACTTCACTAACGCTCTTATCTCAAAGTCAATAATTTTTATTAAATAGCTGTTCTAACATTTTCCGAGTTGTGGTTTTTTTTATAATTACTTTCACGTTTATTAATAGTTTGTTGCTGTTGTTTATTATGCATATTTATTGCTTAATATTATTTAAATAAACAACCATCCAGTGCAACTTTACCTTAAGTGAGATTAATCGTTTTACTTCATTTTTATTTTACTTCGTGTTCTTTGCAAACAAAATTTTAAAACTTTGATATAACACAGATTTTTGTTCGATAACTTTCGAGCCTGTGCATCAATTTAGTTTTTTTGCCCACTTACTGCGAATACTTCCCTTTGTCCCGCGCTTAAAATTTGAGGCAGAAGTTGCTAATAAAATAATAGAAGTTAGTAGAGAGTATTTCGAATGCGGAGTGGAGTCCAGGAAAAAAAGAAATTTCAGTCGAACGAAAGTTCACAGAGCGTAAAAGACGCGGTGTGAATATATAAAAGTTTTTTGCAAAAAAAAATAAAATGAAAATGGAAAGAACACCTAGGTAGCATCTGTTGTCATTTAAAGTCGAACTGCGTTTCGAAACTCATGAACTTCGAGCTTAGGATGGATGCCTGATGGAAAAAAAGTTTCCTTTTATCTTATTTTCTATGATTTATAAGGCAGTTATACTGTAATGTACTTTGTGCATAGAATACATGCGTAATTAAAGGTGGCTGCTGTGGAAAGAAAAATAATAATTCTGATGTATTTAAAAAAAACTTGTTATTAAAATTTGATAAAACAATTACAATTCGACCAATTACCATAAAAATTAAATACATTCGGTCTTACCCAAACCTTGATATTAATTACGCAAAGTTGAGTTTCGTATAATTCAAATATTCCGCAGTAAATCTCCTATTCACCTATTGTTCAGTACATTTAACTAAACCAACGTTGGTATCCATTAATTTTCTGCAAATTACACGCAGATTTAATCACGTAATAAACATTATATCCAGTCCATACATGTCCAAATTACGTCAAAATGATTAATGAACAAAATGTTTTGCGTGCATCAAAGACTACCAAGGTGTTTTTGTATAAGAATAATCCTCTAATATTAACTGAGAGATTATATTGCGTGTTGGGAAATTTCCGGAAAGTTTCCCATGGAATATCTTTCATATGGTCAAATTTTCATTGTACTCGAAGTTTCCGAAACTTCGCCAATAAACTAAAATACGTTGTGAACTTAATAAACGATTTTAACAGATTAAGTTTCTCGTGATTTTACTCTGATTGCTTTTGAGGTGTATTTCAAACTAATCCCAATTTATTATAAATATCGATATGCAGGGTGTTTCTGAAATAAGTGGTCAAACTTTGAGAGTTTATTAGAGAACCTCAAAATATGACAAAATCTTAAATGTCATTTTATCGAAATGTCAAGTTTTTACAAGAATTCATTCCTACTAGATTTTTAAAGATGACAATAGTTTAATAATTTTGTGTATCAGAATTTTAAAAGTCATTTTTCTTGAAAACGGTGCACTTTACGAAACATCAACAAGTATACTTTTTATGTAGAAAACTTTATTTTTCATACTCTTTAAACAAATCAATGGAAAGGGTTAAAATAAAAAAGTTAGATTAGAATTACCTGACGAACCCCCCATTTTAAACTACCCCTGGACAACTTTTTTAACCGACTGAATAGTGCCCTAAGACAATTCATTTAGTTAGGATGTGTACCAAACTTCATCATTTTACCTTTGCTATTAATGAAATTATTAATAAAAATCCCTCTTCAAGAATCCATATTTAACCACCTGTATATCGATAACTAAGGACGACATTTCGATAAAATTAAGTTTTTGTCATATTTTGAGGTGTTCTACTTGCTCCCAAAGTTTGACCACTTATTTCAAATACACCCATGTATAAATCATAAATTATTAATTAAATAAATATTTACTATAGCTAGCGAGCTCATTCGTAAAGCGCGAGACTAAAAGCGAGTCTAAAAGTAGAAAAGAGTCATTTTCGACATGTTGAAAAAATTGAACATTGTGTCAGTAAAAAAAAATCGGCAAACTATATTTTGATTAAAAATTGCGACAATTTACAACTCCACGTTGTTCCTAGCTGTTTGAACATGTACGAAACTTTTTGTTAGCAATCACCGTGTATCACTCAAAAGTCTCGGCATGGAAATTTGAGACTTTTGTACTAAATTGTGGCGTTTCTTATTCAACGGAATTTTCCTATTTTGATATTCGCTCAGAAGTTGGATTATTCTCGTTAAACCGGGAAATGTCGAGGAAAATTGTCAACAAAATATGACGATGATAAATCTCCCGTTACGTTATTGCCGGTATTTCTTTTTAGAAAAATTAATCTAGTACGATATTTCGTAGGAATGCGTCACTAGATTTTCATTATACTTACGTTTTGAAATACCGGGTGACTCTAAACGAATGGGATTATTTTCATATACAAATCTTGTCAATATTACATCCGCTATTACTATAGACATTCTATATTCTCACCGATATCATTTCAAATTGATTAAATTTGATGGAAAAATTTTTATAAAACAAATTTCACGAAAACTTTTTAATAATTTATCAACCTATTATTTCACTTATTTATTCCACCTGTCAATAAACCAATGATTTATCTTTATAAAAGAATAAATTGTGCCCTATGTAATCCAAAATTATCAACCACGAAGAACTCGTTTAAAGTCTATTAAAGAGTAATAAAGAGTATTAAAGAGAACCCGACTAACGTTTTATTAACGAGAATTTCCATATGACTTGAGTTTTTGAAAGGAAATTCTCATTTCTCATAGTCTTATAACATTAAATAGATGTTATAAGCAAAATTTCCTCTCGTGCTTGCAAAATTTCTATAGCATGAGTCTTTGAATGTTAACAGTCGTTCTATCAAAAATGAAATTTCTTCTTAAATGTCTTTTGATAGGTGTCATATTTTGAAAAACTGAAACTGGTTGTGAACTGTCTCACGAAACTGCAAATATTTGCCGAGAAAACTCACCCTGTATATTAAAAAATAAGCTCGATTTATGAGAAAAATTATTATGTCCTGTTACTGGAAATTTGGGACAGCCTGTAGCGTTAGTGATAATACAAAAGTTACAAGGACATACACAAGGGATTACATTTCCTAATACAAATTACCGGTACATTTATTTTTTTTGTAAAAGAATCACCCGGTATATTATTTCTATCCCATTTATGCATTTTACGCACTCTAACAAATGTAACTCTGCTCTTTTTAATATCCTATTAGGTGTATCCTGATTGATTGGTCAGTGGAGGATAAACAAATTTCCGGATTTTCCGGCAAACTCACCGGAAAAACCCTGTCAGTATTTTTTGTCTTCCTATACTTTCAAAAGGCCCGGAAAATATATCCTAGATAATCCTGAATTTAAACGTCACCGAAGCGGAAGTTATTCAATTGATTTTTTTAGGATATATTTTTAATCCTGAGTGACTGAGATCAGGAGGGCCATTGTAGATTAAATCCCCGTAACACACGGGTGACAGGGGCGTTTTGAAATCTAAATAAGGTTTTTTTTTTTTAATTTAGAATGATCGTATTAAAACGGTTATATTATATTGCAAATAAAAAAGCTAAAATAAAATATAATTGATAGATATGCAGGGTGTTTCTTAATAACATGCTAGTATTTAAGGGGGTGATTCTGATGGAGATTTAAGAAAAAGAAACTTCGTATGAATCTATGATAAACGTCTTAATTTTTGTGATATACAGGGTATGAAAGTTTTAAAAATATCTCGTCTATGTGACGAGCATTGACTAGGTATTTTTGAAAGAAAAAAATTGTACGCCACTGCTTTCTTTTAAATTATTTTTTAAACGTTCATATTTCAATAGAAAATATTCCTAAAAATAGTTACTATATCCCATAAAAAAATAAAATAAGATCATCATGAATCACCCCGTATGACTCGATTTTTTTCAAAGCCGGCACTTTTATGTCACTGAGTTGATTTTTCGGCTCGAATTTAAACTCGAACATTTTATACTCCGGTGAATAATAGCGCTCATTTCACGCTCGTAATGTTTTCTTTATCCGGCCTCTTGCAGAACACTTTCTCTGCGAGGCAATCTTTATACATTTGAAAAATGATATAATTCGCTTTGGGCGCTTTTAAAATATACTCAAATAGAGGTTGGGAGAATGGATTATTCAAAAAATTGAGTAAGAAAAATTGCGAAAATAAGTCTCTATAATAGTACTGCTCGTTAAATGCATGCTCGTTAGATGAAGAATTCCTCCCTTTGTACCCTTTATAACTTTTCCTTTTAACCCTTTTCCCTTTATTACTATAACTATACCGCTTTAGTCCTCAAGCTGTGTCCCAAGGTAAGCAGCAGATTTCCCCAAATTTTTATTTTTTAATATTGTTCTTACACATTGCGCATGAGTAATAAGTTTGCAACAAACCTGATTGTCACAATAGCTATTGTATAATAGTACCTACTAGTATAAAGTTTTACCACTTAAGTAGGAATAAATCCTAGATAGAATTTTAAGATTTATAATATTTCAGCTTGCTTAGAGTTGAAGCTTTTTTAGAGTCAAAGCTTGGATAGAGCTGAAGCTTAAATAGAGTTAAAAAGCTTGTATGGATTTAAAGATTACATTCGTTTCGATAAAATATAAATTAAAAAAAAATAAAAATTAGCTAATTCATGCCTAAAATATGTACAAAAACATTAACATCTTGGTCCTTCGCAAATTGTTTTAATGTTTTTTTTTTATTTTATAAATTTATGTTTTTTTTTTAATATAAACATTTAATTTTGTACGTTGAATTTGTAAATGATATCTACAAAATTGCAACCCTACATTCTCTTTACAATTAGCTCGGCTCGGAAAATATGCGCGGAAAAAACTGGAAAAATATGCATGCGACTAGAATGCTCTGGATAAAGGGAAACATTTTGTAATATTTAACCAGGAAAATCACGCCTAGCGTTGGCAAAAGACTCTGGAAAGGCATATTATGGCATTTATAATTAACAAAAGAATGTATAATCATTTTACTCTTCTGGATTGTTTGTACTCATTTTACTTAGTTTTACAAATTTTTTTATTCATTCGTTTATTTTTTCTATTGAATATTGGCATTTATTATTTATGTTTTTTTTGTTCATTTAATTAATTCTTTAGATATTATTAGATGTAAAAATGAGTAAAAATGAGTAAAAGAAGAGTAAAACGAGTAAAAATGAATGAAAAGTAACTTTTCCTAAGTTTAAAAAATTAATAAACCAATCAGTTAAAGAATCATCAAAACAGATAAATAATAAATAAAAATAACATTAATTTGCGGTAAATTTTTGAAATTATTGCAGGTAAATAAAAATTTGCGAAACAAAAAATAACAAACTTCACATTTTTTCGACATATTTTTCAATTTTTTCAAATTGATATTTTAAAATTTTTTCAAGTCACATATTTTCTAAACTTTGGCCAAACTTACCACAAACTTTTTAAACGACCGAAGAACAAAAAACGCGGCGCGAACTGGAAAAACTCCCCCCGCTTCGAAAATATAATCGGAACGCGAAACTCGCGGGAATCGCGGTAAATCGGGAATCGCAACCGTCCCGTCCGCTTTTCCACGCCGAACTTCGCAGGTTTTCAGGAAACTCCGGATAACCCAGAGTCCGAATTTCGGCCAGGAGCGAGAAACGGCGCCCGCTAGATGCGCGTCGTCGCGACGGCCTTGAAGCGCCCCCGTCGGGGCGTGGACGAGGTGAGGATAGACACACCGGTGAGAATACATATACAGAGTGTTATACATATAGCCAAATAAGCCAAGGAATCATCCCCTTTCGGATGGGCACGTTGTTTAGGAACACCCTGTAGTCCAGGATATGCAGATTTTTGTAAAGTTTCGCATCAACATTTGGTTTTCGAAAACTCTTCTTTAGGGCGATTTCGACGATACAGCTTCAATTTTTTCATTTTTTATAGAAAACAAAGGGTTCGAAAAAGTATATGTGCAGCCACTTGAAATCGAGCTGTTTTTTTTTTATTTAGATGCCTGTGAAATCGCGACAATAGAAAATGAAAAAAAATCTTGCATGTCCCTATTGTTATTTTACCCAGTGGGAAGCGTAGAGTTATTTGATGCATGCCTCTTTTCCACGTTCAATGTTTATTTTTCAAGCTGAGTTTTCTTGAAACTAGAATTTTTTGTAGCGAGCGAATCCTGGTGGGGAGGTTTCAAAGTTTATTCAAAAAATTTAGTGTTAAACAAAAACTTTCAATTTACTCATATAGATTTTATAAGTAGGTACCTATATTTATTTCCTTCCATACAACATGTTTATTATCAACAACAAATGATACAATAAACATTCCTATTTAATTGAATTAAGAAAATTAGAACATCCTATATAATATTAAACCTGTTGTTAGCATGGGTCTAATTTATAATAATAGGATTAATATACCCTCTCTAGCTATTCTAATAGATAAATAATAAAGATATTTTGCTCCTAATTTTCCACCGCCAAGTACGATTGTTCCGATAACACACTTGATATAATTCGGGTGCTCTAAAAGGGTGCTTTTACTCCTAATCCTGTTATCCGATTGTAAGGAGTACCTTAAGGACAATTTTGTTAACAAAGAGAAGAAATTTTTGGTATTGATTATTTACCTACGTATACATACATATACTATATGTTTCTTTAAATAATCTGCTGGTACATAAATTCTAAAGAAATAGGTATAGAATTAATATAGGGGAAGGATCATTTCACAAGAATCAATACAACACAGGTATTGAGTCCTTAATAGAGTAAAAGAAACAATGTTTTAAGTTTGAATAAATTATCCATTGTCCCCAGCGATTTTTGCCTTTGTCCTGTTCTTTAGAAATAGTTTACGAAAGTTGTTGTGTTTTTCGTCAGTTTTTGGTGTAATTTTACAGTCGAATGTATTTTCTAAGATATTTCTGTTAATAATGCAATTAAAGTAAACTGTCAAGTGGCTAAAAAGAACCGTTAATGTACATAAAATAAAGTTGAATGACATAAAATTTATTCTCAAAGAAAACTAGACAAATAATTATAAAAATAAACTTCCATAATTATACAAAGTGAAATAATTTACAATCATCTTTATAGGTGAACGAATCTTTTGTTCGATCAGTTCACAGCCACCCAGCTGCTCTCTAACCTTTTAGAAGGACCACAGAAATAATATATTATTTATAAAATTTGCTTACAACGGCCCTCTTCGATAAAATAGGGTTGCGAGAAAAGTTATACCCTAAAAGGAAAATGATTAACGACCACCGATTCACCGAATTCTCTCTCTACCCTTCGTGGTTTTTCCTCCGAAAAAAAATAAAATCGCCAAATTTAGGTAAAATCTATACGAACACTTTTTTGTAACGTCAACGTACAAGTGACGCGGAAAGAGCGGATATTACTATACAGAGTGTCCGAAATTATAAGAGGAATAAGTAGTGAATTTGGTTGACTATTTCAACCCCTTTAAACATACTTCGGGGTTGAAAAAATGACAAAATGTATAGTTTTATTGACAAATAACATTTCCCAAGTTTCGTGACTTTAGCTTAATATACTGCATGGGAAAATAAAGAAGATAAACCGGGAAGGGTTTTTCAAACAAATTTATACCAAGTATCCACCTTAATTTTTTATCCCCGATAACGCCGCTTAAATATTTTCATTGTTATTCAGATACACCCTGTATAAAGCGCAGAGTTCATCGACTGTCTTGATTTATTCACCGACTTTAAAAAAAAGTTTTCTCGTCGTTAATTTGTCGAGTTTTGAGTCGTAAAAAATGTATTCCGAAGGAAACGAGAGGATTAGAATATCGTTTTTCATCATGCTCCCGGAAAATTCTCCTTACGGAATTTTTTCGGCTTTTCTGCGAAGATTTTAAAAGAAACTCACATAAAATGTTCGCTAGAAAATCTTCTAACTTCCACTTTAAACCATATCTCTCTGAACATGCCGAGTCCGAGGAAAAGTTGAGAAGAGTTATTGAGAAAACAAAAATTATCCAAAATAAATACAAACGAAACAACTCCAAGCCTGAAAGATTTATGCAGATCGTTAGGGCTTTAAAAATATTATAGGTACAGTATTTTTCTACGCCCAATGAAATAAACTTGAACATAAAATCGAGTCAAATAATTTTCTTTATCTGATTATTGGAGCTGTGAAGGACCATTTATTAATTTTCTGTAAAAGTTTTACAGCGACGAAAATTTATTTATTAAATTAAAAAAAATACAACCATCCGTACAAAACAACTTTTCCCCACACACTAGTCTACTTCGAGCTTTCCAGTGTATATATTTGTGAGCTTTTATGGAAGCTCGTGTACAGATAAGGAAAGCGCTGCAAAATGTAATCACTTCTGACCGATTTCACAGCTGCAGGGAAAGACAATTCACCTTTTACGTTCGGGTTTTACGTTCACGTAAAGTGCATAATAACGTCGCCGAGTCTAGATTGCATTAGTTGCAATGAACGTAAGAACAATGGAAAGCTTTAATAGAACAATGAGCTTTAATGGAATTATTGCCCGCGGTCGTGGAATTGAAGGGGAATATTTACAATTATTGATGGATTAAAATTTTATAGTTTTCGAACTTAATGGTAATTAAAAGATGGCGAGTTTGCGCAATAAAATGTTTTATTGGGTTATTTCTACCGTTTCTTCTCTTACTCTATTAAATGTATCGTGGGAAGTATTATTATTTTTAATGTTTTTTTAAACGAACTATAGCTGCAAAATTCATTATATTGAATACTGATTGGATTAAAAAATTGTTAATCTACAATTACAGTTGGTGCAAAACAAATATCAATGCACGTCACTTATGTTTTCTGCAGGTATTAAGCTTAATCTATTTTGTGTATTTATTTTTAAAAGTTGTTCATAATGCTTGGCATGTATGACGACAGTAGTGACGTCGTGCATTGATATTTGTTTTGCACCAAACTGAACAAAACATTCTTTGAAAATTCTGCAAGTACAATCAAGTATAAAATTCATCGCGTATATTACATATTTTTAAACGATTGGAATATCAAAGGGGATTCAACTTAACAGAAGAGCAAATAACCAAAGTACTAAATTAACTCAAAAATTGACGAACCGAATACACGCGCATTCCATCTACACTTGTATCTTATTAACAAGACCTTTAGGCTTTAATTTAAAATGAAAACAAACATGTTATTTCGGGATAAGGCGCTCCAGCAACTGTACGAGAGCATATGAGAGAGGAACGAAGGGCCCTTCGGGAACCAACCGAACGCCGAAATGATGTTTCGGTTAATGGGAAATATGAATTTTCCTGAAAAATCCTTTGAACTTCGAGCGGCCTCTATATCCCTTTAATTATTTAGACTTTGTAATTTTGGATATGATAACATCGATGATTTTAAAGCATTCTCTCGAGTTTTATATGCTTTATATAATATTGTAAAGATCAGTGAGAGTATTTCTATAGGGTGGATGTGCCACAGGGCATGAGAAATCCAGTGAGATATTAATCAAAATTGAAATCAAAAAAATATTTGTTATACGCATTTAAACATTTTTCCTGATCGAGCATCAGGATTTTTAACAATAATAACAAAGATTTTTAACATATACAACATACCTGAGTTAATTCAGATAATGCAGTCGAAGATTCTTACCTGTAATTAAAAAAAATAATTAAATTTTATTTTGTTATCTACAGCTTATGCTCCAATAACAATATTATTAGATTTACCATTAGATTAGATACCGTAACATTTAATTTTTTTCTTTAATTAATTCTTAAAATTCAATATTTATGTCAAGTTTTTTATATAATTTTGTTTGAATAATATAATATTGATGTCTCCTCATTCCTTTAGTAACATAATGAAGTTGTTAATTTTATTTCGGAAAACTCGATATTTTTAGGGTATTTCTGAATATTTTTGGAATTATATGTAATTTTATTTAATTAGGATCGAGGTATTGAAAGAAACAAGAACAGAAATGGTCCATTCAAAACTGGTGAAAGTTTGAAACTGGGAAAAGCTCGAAAGCCATATTGTTTTGAGTCGGGTATATTTTCAATTTCAATCTCATTTCAGGTAATTTTACATTCTAACAACAAACTTTCTTTTGATTTCTAAACCGAAATGTACTAAAAACTTTTATTGAATACAGAATTCAGAAATTATTTTTTGAAAGAAATCTGATAGATATTCAAAAAAATTTTATAAGCAGACAAATTTCAATAGTATTAAGTTTCTATAATAATCGCTGTATTATAAAGCGGCTGTGGTCACGAACTGACTGATAAGATTAATTGGTGTATTAACTAAAAATCTATTTTAAAGCACTTTAAACTAAAATACAAGCCGAAATGAGGTGAAAAATAGGGGAAAATCAAGATATTCATAGGATTCGATTTTCACAACTTCGACAGCCGGAAAATTATTCTTCCGGTCCTTTTGGCGAAAAATCAGAATTTTTCCGGTCTTTCTGAACTCGATTAAACTCGACAAACAGGAAGTCCCCCTAATTTCTACTTCAAACCAC